ATATTGTAGGTTTTTTATTTATTAATTGAAATATACTAGGAAATATACTATTGAAATAACAATGTAAATTCAATTTTTTTCTTAACACAATGCTCTCTTTAAGTTTTATAAATTTCTTACCATAGTATTAGTATATGATCGATCTTTTGTAAATATATATTAATTAAAATAATTTTCTGAATAATTATATAATATCATTCATTTAAATACTTGCTATTCTATTCTATAATTGCTATATATATATATATATATATATATATATATATATAACGTTTTCAACGTATTTACAAAATAATTACCATGGTAAAAATAATTATTAAATAAAAATTTGTTACATTTAAAATTTTATCTAAATATACTTTAGTATGCGAATATATGTTTAACAAAAAAACTAAATAAATGGTAAACAATGCTTATGCAAGAAAGTACAGTTCAATTTAACCTTTAAATAATATAAAATATTAAGGGAATGTTTAAATTAAGATGAAACGAAAATAAAAAATAAAATATAACGTGTCTATAAAACAGTTGAATCCATTTTATTCAGTATTGTCATAATAATAAAATTACGTCAAATAAAATCAGCCGAGCGTATTGATAAAATAGAGAACAACAGAGTGGCGTGAAAATATTACAAGATATAAAAAATTTACACGTAAATCGCGAATAAAATTATATCTAATAAAATTAAATAACGCGATCACTTATATTCAATCATATACATTTTTTCTTTTTTAATTACACCTGATATCATCTAATAAAAATTATCGAATAAAAAATAAATTCTATTGAAAATTACATAATGAATGAATTACTAATTCGATAATGCAGTATCAATTTGTAGTTAGCTGTTGACTTATGCTACTCAATATATTATGTCGAGATATGAATTCTTAAACAAATATTTATATTTAATGTAAATACAGATACCTTTAAATATTTACATTTAATTATAATGCAAACCTACTTGTAAAACTGAAATTTTTTTTATTAACTCTACAAATAATTGTATAACAAATTATTATAATAATCGAAAAAAAAAAAAAAAAATTGTCCAATGTAAAATCTGGCTTGTTTCAAAATTGTATTCAATAAGATATTATTTTTGGAGCGTAAATCCCAGCAATAACATTAGAGTTTTCGCTATTGTGTTTCGAACGAGAACTCGACAGTCATTTAACAGACCATTATTAACTTAAATCTTTATCAATCGTAGTTGAATATTTATCATCTGTTATTGGAATTACATTAAGAACGATATGTTAACAATATAATGATCAAGTGAATTAATATTTTATTTTTCAACAAATACGTTAATATATCATTTTTCAATCGCAATTACCTTGCTACATCCAGTCATATTCAAATTATTATTGATAATATCTTTTTATTTTACAGCCATACAATCTACAATGCTCTATGTCGAAAATTTAATCAACGTTGATAATACAAGCGTTTCGAGCTTATTTAAATTTTGTATACAGATTAATAGGGGATGCATTCTAACAACTTTCCTTAATGCAAGTTTACGATATCGTAAAAAGTAATATAAACTATAAGTACGTAATTGAGACTCTGTAGCGAGCGGTTGAGTAACTAACGTTACGTGTGTTAACGCGATAAGTTTATGGCTGAATGCAACATTTATTCGAGCGAGGCCTAGTTAACTTTCGAAGGAAGTAATGTATAAGGTCTTATTATATATTTTACAATAATTTCAAACTTGGTGTTTTTTTAATGAAAGTCCAAAATGATAGAATAATACAATTTACAAGTAGTACTGGTCTTTGGTATCTACATTTTTAAGGTTTATACTGTTGGATTACGATGGTAATGCAAGAAGAAGAAAAATGCAATGCAATGAAAAATACATTTCAAAAAACAATTTAAAAGTAACTTGAAAGTAATATTAAATAAATTAAATTAAATTAAATAATAAAATATGTTTGATTTATGTAGATTATAAGAATCTTATAATGATGTTCGATATCACTTGCCGAATCTTCGTGAATACCTATTTTTCTCGATAGAAACGATTGATTTTTAAACATTGCTGATACTTTTTAACATAGAGATAAATATATATATATATATATATATAAGTTACATATCTTTCTGAAATTAATTATATTTAATTCTTGTAAATATTATCCATATTGTCAATAGGTATACTGCTCGTGGCATAAGTATATACGGAAAAATTAGTATCAGTCATATCGGCGTGAATAGTACGTGACAATATTTATAATAATGTATAATTATAATAATATAGATTGTGCCTATTTCATTCTACGATAAAATATACACTAAATAAATATTTCCAATTACATTAATAATTTTCTTAATTCCAAATGTAAATATTATAGTATATAATAGAATTGTTGTATCATGAAATTGAATGTAAACTATTTCTATTATTCATAAATAATCTACGTAAGGATTTTATTCTAGTAGGATTTATAGTACGGAATAGGTAGTGAAAGTAAAACTTTTTAATCCAGCTAATTCAACTACAGTTTTTATCTCTAAAATATTTTTGTAATTGTTCTATTGATTATTTATAATAAAGTATAATTAAAATACTTAATACTTTTCATCGTTTATAATAGTTTTAAAAATGCACATTTTTCTTAAAAACAGATAGTAACTAACAGTTTATTATCATATTAAAGTGTAAAAAATCTAACTATTCTTCTTAAACTTGAATACTTGAATAAGTAGAACAACTATTATCAAAATATTGAAAGTCTCATTGCGAAAATGAGGTTGAAGTTTATAGTTACTAAGTCTACAATACATTTAGTTTATTCCGTTGAATGCATTAATTACTGTTGTAACAATTTCTTTTATGCTCTTTGCATTCATTTATGCATCTATATAGAAATTCTTATGTTCTCGTTCGATATATCTTTATTTCTTCGTTCCTCTCTCTCTCTCTCTCTCTCTCTCTCTCTCTCTCTATCGACTGAACTTTCTATCAATCTATATATCAATTTTCAACTAATCTGTCTTGAATTATGTAATCGTTCTGGAACAGTATTTTTTTATTTTTAGAGAAAATTGATAATGTACTATGGATTATGTTTTTGAAAATCTTAATAAAAATTAATTTATATATTCAATGTAAATATATTAATAACATTGAGATATTTCAGTTTAGATAAATATTTTGTTCACTGCTAACATTTAGCATTATTACACTTTTGCATATTAACTTGATTCATAATTAAACTATATATTATGTATCGTTCAGCCTTTAAATCTTACAAGCCTATTTAGTTTAGTCGCAATCATTATTTAAACATTTAAATATTTTGCTTATTCATACTAATAGAAACATAGATTAAACGTATTTTTAAATCGTCTTGTACATTCAAGTACATGAATTATAAAACTTATATTAATTAATAAACTATTGATTCGAGGATATCAAACTTGTTTTTCGAGAACGTTCTTATTATTTAAAAAAAAAAAAAAAAAAAAAAAAAAAAAAAAAAAAAAAAACAATATACTATAATTTAATAATTTATACTATTGATTTCATCAAATTTAAAAATCACTAATACATTTCCATAAGAACCATGAAATAATTGTAAAACTATTGTAAGATATTGTATTGTAACTATTGTAAAACTATTGTAAGATACAATTATTATAATAAATTATCATAATCCTTGCAGTGAATTTTTTCTATAATTGCTCCAAAATCATCCAACTATTTCACTAACTTTTTATAGATACAAAGTACAGCTTAGTTATGGATTTTCTCAATTGCATTTGAGATTAATACATCTAATCATCTAGTCATCTAATCATATAGTTATCTATATTAGAGGTAAATATCTAAAATTGCCTAAACCTGGCACATGACTTAACCGCCCGAGTTAAGGTTGAACATTGGCAGTTGTACGAGTTGATAATCAGTTCAGTGGTCGAACTATAGGCTCTGTTTTGAAAAGTTACGGACGAACTCAATCAGGCACATAATGAAATTTGTAACAAAGGAATATAAGACTTCCAAAAAAAAAAAAAAATGAAAGAGTTGACGGGCGCGCAGCTATGACTCTCTGAGAAAATTATTACTCGGGGCCCGGTTCTTGTCAATTTTGTCAAGAAATGAATTTGGGTAGAAATTTGATCATAAACTTGCGAGAATAAAGTAATTAATAACTAAAGGAGTAACGTTCTTTTTTCTCAATATATCAATAATTCCAGCAGTCAGCTCGTTGATCTCGCGTGCAAGTTTTCATATAAAATATGACGGGAAAGAAATCGATGGCAACAGAATAAAGAGGAGAAAAATCAATTGTAAAAACAGAAAGAACCAGCACTGATCAGAATTCGCGTCCTTACAGCTTTCGGTATTCTCTCATATCTCGTGTCCTCGTGAAATTTGCCAGTGACTCGCAACCGATTGTCCGGAATGCATCCCACCCGGAGTGCTTCGTAATGAAGAAGCTAATTACGTATAATTGATACTTGAAAAGCAGAAGAAAGGCACTCAAACTCGAACACTATCAATTTTCGTTTATGGAGCTCCTTTGTCGAATTAATAATTCTCAATCCGCATGTCATTATCAGCTGATTTGTAATAATTGAAATTACTATATAAGAGGCAAAGATATCGAGTAAAAATATATGACCGTAAAATAACTGTAATTTTCAATAGACCAAGAAAGTTCTTTTATAGTACGAAATAACGTAAGTAGCTGTGTTTAAATTTAAATATTTCTAACAATTTACACATAGTACCGTCGTGATTATAAAATGGTTCATGCCAATATTCTTTCTCAATCTTTGCTCTATATATTGAATCGCTCTAAAAAAAATTCAAATACGAATGAGCATTCCCGTGACGCTGACATTCTGACATTGATAGAACTTAAACTTAACTAGAATTAAATACAATTTTTTCGTTATTACTTAATTGAAATATAATGTAACATAACCTCGCATAAGAATTGAATAAATTAGCTAATGTAAAGTTTCTTATCACGCAGTAATTACATCAGAATAGCGAATAGACGAGTCCGGCAATACACCTATCCTCCTGACTATGATGGACGCAATCCCGAGCTTAAGGGTCGTGAGTGGACCCTAAGGGCTTATCGGCAAAGGCGACTCGAGCAAGCGGCCCAGGGGCTAGAGGAAATCGCTGCTCAGCCTCGAGGAAGATATTCAAAAGAGCCTCGTGACGGAGAGCTTTCGCACGGTCGTGGCGCGGCTGCGGCACGGCACCTCTTCCGGGGGTTCCCTGCCGAACACCCCGAACCCATCTACCACACCTGAACACAGGGTCCAAGTGAGTAACCTAATATTGACTTTGATCTATTGGATTGGCCACTGACGCAGTCAAAGTTTATTTACCGCGGTTTATTCAATAGTAGTAGCTCGCTCGACATAAGCGATTTCCTAGCGGCAATTTTCAGCACTTTTCGTTTTATAATGTTAATTCATTCGCCTGATTTCATCTTGTACATAATACCTGACGAGGAATTATTAAATAAACTGACTTCTGTCAATTTGCACAAGTTATATTAAGATTGTTTATGAACGTGATTTGAAAAATTGCGTACAATATTTACAGATTTAACATGTAATTGACGATTTGCGATAAAATATGAGGAATATTAAATTGTATTTTCAACAATTTCGGAAGATACAAACTCGAGTGAAATAAATAAGATGATTATATCGACACTGTCGCGAATTTCAAATTACCTATTATATTCCTTAAAGCCATAAAAATTTGTTGCCATTACACGTGATTATTTTAATAGAAAAATTTGCCTTTCAACAATCACAATTTCTTCAATTTACTATTTATGGCTGTACTTTAAATATTTACAATTTCGTTTAAGTGAAATTATATTCTTTTAATATGATAATAATATGTAAAATACAGGGAATTTCTGAATAAATACTTCTTAAAATGCCATAGTCAAAATGTGTGTGTAAGCTAATATTTTTAACATCGTGTATTAATTATTAGTCTCGTTATTTGTTACGTACAAAGAGGAAAAAATGTTGAAAGGCAATAGAAATGCATGATTATGTTTATATATTATGCATTCTTAAACGTACGTAACCTTTTAAAAGTTTCATGCAGCTTTAAATCCTATTATCCGAGCCTCGCATATAATAATCCTTTTTAATAAAATAGCAGGAAATTGAATATAAAATAGACAAAATAGTCAAGTTGACTTACTTTACAAGCTTTTAGTAAGTATTGATTAAAAGTAGATGTAAATTCAAATTAACGTAAAACAAAAATAATATAATTGACAGCTCATAAAATATTACTAATTCAATTTCTTTCTTTCACGCGCTCTTATCATACATCTCTTATTCTTTATTTTGCACTGCTTCTCTCTCTCTCTCTCTCTCTCTCTCTCTCTCTCTCTCTCTCTCTCTCTCTCCATATTTATCTTTCAAATTTCATTGTATACTCTATCAATATTTTTGTTCTGTTTTGGCATTTAAAGCACTGGCCCCCCTTCTACGACTTAAATTCTGTCCTAATTAAACATGTATGTACAAATATTTCAGATATATCTAAACTGAGAATAAATACAACTATAAATGCTCTATACAATAATTTTTTTTCTTTTATAATTTTATGTTTCTCTAATAGGGATAAATTTTACTATTAACTATTTTTATTGCGTAATTTCATGATCAGCTAAATGGAATAAAAAATCATTAGAGACGAATGCAATGAATTCATATATGCTATTAAAAAAAAAAAAAAAAAAAAAAAAAAAAAAAAAATTTGTATATAGTTTATAAATATCGGTTTGTTGTGATCTAAAAGATGAACATGATTCACCTGGGGCGTTCTTAATAATGATATTCATCGAGTTCATAATATTCTTAAATCAATATATAAATAATGTATATTTTCAGAAACCAATATATATTCTATATAAAAGAAATATTCCTAACCCCGTTAACTTTTCTATTACCGCAATATTTACATTCAAATTAAAAAATTACTAATATTAAACACGAATTTAGTAAGACTTTGTAATTTGACTTGATACAAAAATTCACTCATTATAATTCACACAAAATACGATAATTCTTTAATCAATATCTAAATTCACTATTTATAGACTGTATTTGTTTACACAGTTTTGGCTTTTCTATATTTAGATTAAAGCTTTTTGAAAATAATTCTTTGAATTAGTTTAATAATCATGTTAATTTGAAATGTTACTTTCCTTATCACGCAATAAATTCATGGCTATAGATTTGTCGCTCACATGAAAAATCCAAACATTTAATTCACAAATTAAGATATTTTAGACGCAAAATATGTACTATATTTAACGATATTCAATGACTTTGCTTACGAAGTTTTATGCAATAATACATACATACATACAGATATATATATATATATATATATATATATATATATATATATATTTAATTATAAAATATAATTAACAATCAATTAATTATTAGTTTAGAAGAAAAGAAAAAATAGATAAGACAATATAATTAATTACAATTTTTTTAATTGATTTTTAATCGAGTCTTGAATAAAAATAATTGTAATTACAGAAAAACAAAAGTAAAATAAAATCAAAACTATTTATTGTAAATTTCATTAATTTCTTTTATTTACAGAAAATGTTATATAAAAGTATTTTAATAAGATTCATTTGCCTTTTTTACAATAAGACTTTAATTACATTTCATTCCATTCGCTCTTTTTCATATCTCTTTTCACTAAATAACAAATAATTCCATGTCTATTAATCATTAACTGAGAATAGATGATATAACAACTACTACTCCTCTATATACCAATTATGTATATAGCATATTTCCTATTTCGCCCAAGTCGATGAAACCAACGTTAAAAAGTGTAAAAAAAATTGAGCAAATGTTCACTCAAACACTACCTTATCTCGTTTATACGGTTTCTATAATCGTTATGAAATAAGCAATAGATGGAGAAATTTCTCAAATAGATACCATATTTCAATTTTATTTCTATTTTCTCTCAACATTACCGTATATTACAATTCTTGCAGCTAGAGAGAATTCAGTATTGATAAAGTAAAGCGGTAATAACTACTTTTAAAGCTATTTTATTCAACAATGTTTTAGTTTTAGATAATTTTAGAAAAGGTAAAAATGTACGTTACGTATGTTAACTTAATTTAATTATCCTAAGTAAATATTTATGTATCGAATATTATTAGATACAGTTAGGAATATAGATATTAATTATATTTAGCCAAAAATTTTGATGTATTATAATTACTTTAGCATTATACTTATTCCATTGATGTTTAAATCTTATAAAATGAAAAGATATTACTTATTTTATCGAATGCTAAATCTTATTAAAAGAAAAGATATAAAATAAATAAAAAGAAAATGTATTGGCATTTAAATCTTAGAAAAAGAAAATTTATTAAAAAATATGAAAAATTTTAGAATACTTTAGCTTTTTCAGTATTCAGTTATAAATCAATTATATATAGTTGAATTATTTAGATTTTTAGCCATTAAAATTTATGATATGATAAAAAGTATGGTAAAAAAAAAAAAAAAAAAAAAAAAAAATCGAAATTACAGAATATTGCACTCGAAAAGCAAAGACATAACGATGTAAAACGTATTATCTTATGCATAAAATAGTAATATGTAAGAATAATTTTTCTATCTTGAATATATTTTGTAAGTATGCCAGATTTCTTAAAAGTCATTTCCTTGACTGATTTCATAATGACATAATGTTTGCTAATCTGTCAAAACAAATGTCTCATACATTCACGCAGACTTCAAATTATACAACTGATGTTGCGCTTAAATAAAAGAAACTTTTGCATGATGGAATTTAATTTTACTGACATTTTCTTAATTTATTCTACAGATATTAATATACCTTAATATAGATTAATATACAAATTACATTATGTGTGTGTGTGCGTGTGTATAGCATGCTAGCGTTTTCATAATTACTTTAAGTAATGGAACCAAAACAACGATTATATCCGTTATTATTATATTTTATCATTCGAAAATCATTGTAGCATGTGAATTTAGTTGCGCATCTGAAAAATATACATATCAGAACAATTTCTTTTATATTAACGAAAACCCATTCGTCTAGCGAACATGCTCGTATAAGAATATAAGCAATTTTATAAAATCATTATTTAAAATGATACTTTTTAATAGAAGAAAAACGTAAAAAAAAAAAAAATTGTCAAAATTCATCAATTTGATCGGTACAGTCTTAGTTTGAAAATCCGTTTAAATTTGTATCACATTGTAGAAAATCTTACATGTGTAGAATATTTAATGAAAAAATCTATTAAATTAACAGACAAGATAATCACGCTGGATTCTTCGTGTCTTCATCAATTAGAAAATGTCATATACTCTTATATAATTTCATACAAAATCATATTCCCATAATAAATAGTTCACAGAAAATATGCGAATATGCAGTTATCAACTAATTGGCTTATTGATTAGATAGAGAAATATATAATCAATAACAGAACGTTTAATAATTTTATGATTAATATTATAATTTATATATACGTACATATGAAGTTTAATGAGGAACGAAGTTAAACTTTTACTAATATATTCTTGAAATATTATCGTACAAAATATGTACTTCGAATGTATAATTGTTAAACTATACTAATAATTACAGATCTTTTGATAACCGAAAAACATATATAAAAAGATGTGAAAATATACATAATATACTATAATAGGGCAATGAAATTTAAAATAAAGTATACAAGTGAATGAAATGATTAAATATAATTGAAATTACCAGATGTCAGAGTATCGCTTGTTCAATTCATCATCATCATCGCTATTTCTATAATAGCTGATTAGATTAAGAAAATATGATTAGTATACGTAACGATATAATACCAGACTTCATAATTTTCATTATTTCTCTGTAAAATTTTTGTTATTTCTACCTAAGTGTCTGATATATTTATTTAACCAATCGAACGTTTTGTCGATAATATCTCGGATACATTGCATAGAAATAACATACAACGAAATAAATATCACGCGCTATATAATGTAATTATATAATAAATTTAATATAATTTGGTATTAATAAGCACTTCATCATTCTCTTTTTACCTTGACGAATATTCAGAATTATTTAAAATGCAACAGTGCCAAATAGTCTAGATTATGACATTAATATGTATTAAAAGTAAGATACCTTCAAGGTGTTGATTTTTTGTTAAGAAACAAAGTGCCTATGAATGCATAATTTTCAATTCTTTTATGTTGAATCGC